ACAGCAACAACAACAACAACAACTTTTTTTTCAACAAAAACACAAAGTGGTATAAACAAGGTATAATCAACATTTTTTTTTTTCACAAACGTTTTTTTAAAACATTAGTAACTCCAACGCAAAGTTTTTTTTTCCCTGCACCGTTTATCAAATATGGTGCTAACCAGTGCATGGCCTTTTTTTTCACAAAACTCACTTGGAAAGAAGCAAGAGAAGTCTGCACTAAATTTTTTTTTGATCTCGCTAGTTTGCACAGCCCGTTTGACCAAGGTTAGGTTTTTTTTTTATTCATATTTATTAACTTTAAGGCTCCAGGATTATCCTGGCCATTTTTTTTCAAAGTTGTGTAACTACGTTATTTAACTGCGATGTGAGTTGATTTTTTTTTATGGTCGAAAAGTAATGGTATTCTAATTACGCTGTAAAATTTTTTTTTTTTTTTTAATCTTAACTCTAAAATTTGTACGAATATAACTTAATATTTTTTTTTACACTTTTATATCTTGAAATTCTTAGCCTTTTTGGTTAGCAAGTTTTTTTTCTATCGTGGAAATGTCTGGATCGGTATGTCACGTGMTGCCAACTTTTTTTTATTCACGTGGTCTGACCTCAGTGCTCAGGAGTACACGCATTGGTCCAAAGGTCAACCCGGGGCACCTGGATCATCTAAAACATGTGTTCAAGCATTTTTTTTAACCACAAATGATGGGAGATGGACTGTGACAGACTGTTCTACATTTTTTTTTTTTATGTGCCAAATATTGAAAGGTAAATTGACTTCGTACAAGTTTTTTTTAGGAAATCTCACTTGAAAATTTCATTCGACATTGATATCATTGTTTTTTTTACTTTCGCATGCTATCACGTGATCACTGTTTTTCTGTATTAACTTTTTTTTCTTTCGTGATTGTGTATAAAATAGATCACTTGTTCTTCGTGCATAAGCGCATCACCATTATTTACGTTTGTTTAAAATTTTGAGACAAAGCATATTTTTTTTTTTGACGCTTGGCGTTTGCGTGAATCTAAAACTGTCTAAACTATTTTTTTTCTCAACGTTCATGCTTCTGCCTATATGTCAGTGCTAGTTATGGTTTTTTTTATTCAGCTGTTCTTTTATCATAGTTCTTTATTTTTACAATCAACAGGAGACCAGCATGTCACACCAGTGGGTAAGTTATTTAAATAGGGTTAACTTGCAGAGAATGCAATAAAAACCGACGAACTATGAGGTTTCTTTACATATTTTTTTTTTGTTATTAGAGCAGGGAACTTGTCTTCCTGGCTTCGAGAAACTTTTTTTTTTCTGTTATCTGTTCAAATTTATGGACAAGCAACCATGGTCTTCTGCCAGGTATCGTTGTATGAAGCTGGGAGGGGATCTTGTCAGCATTTTAAATTTTTTTTTGAAAGATTTTCTCGTTTATCGATTTAAAGACCTCAGCTGGAAATTTTTTTTGTGGACCGGTAAGTTATGTTGAAGAGCAAACCATAAAAAAGATTTTTTTTTAATAGTTTTAATTTATCGATGTAATTGATTTTTGACATTAGGTCTTAACGACCGTTCTTATGAGCGGGGTTACGAATGGACTGATGGCAGCCCTGTAGCGTTTACAGCATGGGCAACGAAACAGCCCAATGACAACCAAGGTACTGAAAACTGTGTTTCCATGTGGAGTGGTACTGGATTATGGTCTGATAGACCATGCACTTGGAAACTCGGCTATATTTGCAAAGCAAAGCTCGGTAAGTTTACCTTTTTTTTTTTGGCAATAGCTTGGTTAGCATCTTCTTGATATTTTCGAAGTTTTTTTTTAGGACTTGTTTRAGGCGCCAGCCTATCAATAATTGGCTTAAGTACCTTGTGAATGAATAATAAGTATTAAGTATAATTAAGAGTTGTTATTATTTGGCAACTATTTAATCGTAAAACTTTTTTTAGCAGTTATGTTTCAATAACAATTCATATGTTGTTTTGTCATGCGCGAATTTGATCGGGTATGTTGTACCTTTAGAATGCTCGTCACCTCTTGGTATGGCCAGCGGTAACATCACAAAGGATCAGATAAACGCATCTTCATCCCTTGATATATTACATACGCCAGACATGGGCAGAATGAACGGGTCAAGTGGCTGGTGTGCCAGCGACAAGGACAAAGCACCCTACTTTCAGGTTAATCTGGTCTTACAGTAGTTTAAACGCTTATTATCTTTTCTTTTTTTTATTAATGCATTAATGTTGTRCTGTTGCAATCTAGAACGCACTAAACTTGCTCTGCATGTCTTAATTATGCTTTACTACTGCCAATGAATTTGAGGTATTGTTTACGTTAGTGTTTAGGATTTGTTTGACTTCTAACYTTCAATTATTTTTTTTTATCTCGAAAAACGTTATYGAGGAGAACGGCGAACGGCGATGATCAAACGGAGATTGCACGAGCGAAAGAAACAGTATTGTTGTGCTGTTTTGACAAACAAAATTTCACCAGTTGGATTCACCTTGCACAGAAGTCTAAATAGAGTTTTTTTTTTTACTTACAGTATWAATCAGTTGTTATTTCCATTTAATTAGGTTTTTTTTTGGCTAKTTTTGGTCTTGCAATCGCCGTTCGACATTGACATTTGCCATTTTATCCGACAACGTTCTTTGAAATAGGTATATACACCTCTTAGAGTTTTTTTTAATATAGATCCATCTTGAGGTYCACAAATTAGCGGAATTTCAGTTTCCAAGTGATCTAAATTCGCTTGATTTGTTCCCGAGAAAACCCGCTTTGACGTCACGTGCAAAGGGTCTTGATACAGCAATGGCGCTGTTTTCAATTATGACTTTTCGCTCATTTATCAATCCAATAATTCACTTTTGATTAATCTTGTTCTAATTCTTTTATCAATATACAGGTCGAGTTTTTAGATGAGATGGAGATTGCTAAGATTGGTATTAAGGGAGTCAATCTTTACAATACACCAGCATTCATTAAATCATTCACCGTGTCTTATGCTGTATACAAAGATCAGTGGATGCCTTATCATTTTTTTTGGGCGAACAGGGTAAGAATGATCTCGTTGTTTTGTTTCGAATTGTCTTTTCTATACTAGGAACTTTTCCTTACTGTTCTTACGGTTCAACATGACTTTGAGTGGATGGTATAGTTTGCTCTTGACAGCCCGTTACTGCGGACAGATTTTTTTTAGTTAATGATACCCACTTCAAAGAGATTACCGACATTGACTCTCTATACAGCGAACACTCRCTGTTAGCCAACGTGCAACCCGGATCAAAGCTGTTTTTTTTCTAAGCGAATCAGCGACGAAGATCGTGTTTCGTGTTTATGTACTTTTTTTTGAATGGCTGCTTATTGAATTCAATTCTTATGATCACGCTCATCTTTTTTTTCTACAGATATTGAGTAAACTAAATTATGGCCCGGAAACATCCTGTTGTAACGATTGCTGGACCTATCAAAWTTTTCACCTCCAATAGGCCGTGATTTTTTTTTCTTACTGAAAGAGATATATACTTTACGGAATTCGCTACTGAATTTTTTTTAAAAACCTTCCCACACCACTGAGCCATCGAAACTGCCTTTTCATTTTTTTTTGTTTTGCWCGGCTGACTACGACATAGACATTGAAGTGGCAACTTTTTTTTTGTTTAGAAGCTTACATTATCATTCTTCTTTGTTTACAAATTAATAATGCATCATTATATCTCTTCTCAATGAAGATATTTGCAGCGAATTCAGTTTTTTTTCAGGTAGTTTATCCTCTCGCCGATCCACCTATTAAAGCACGATTTTTTTTTGTAAAACCGCTGACATGGAATAAGAAGATTTGCGCCACGTTTGAATTCTATGGATGTGTTTTGGGTAATAAACGTCGTTTTATCTCAAGTCTTGTGTTTAACAGCAATTCTAATACAGCCGTGAATTACTGAAAAAGTTAAATTGTTTTTTTTAATGCCAGAAGCCACTTGGGATCCAGTCAAGATTGATTAGAGATTTTTTTTTCAACGCTTCATCACAATCAGATGCGCTTCATGGTGCAACTCATTTTTTTTCTTCAGTAGGGAGGGGCTGGTGTCCATCGGTACGTTAACCTATTTTTTTTTGAGTGACTGCTAATCCTTTTATCAGTGATATCAATACAGCGCCGAAGGTTATAAATAGGGCTGTCTAACTCAAGAAAAAATGGATAGATTTCATTTTTTTTTTTCGAGTTCATACCGAAAAACCTCTGCTTTATTTAACAACAGATTATATTGCGCTAAGACCAGATCAAACARGAGRGCACAAGAAAATGTMGTATTTTTTTTGGCCTTGAAAATTTGCATTTTCCCCGAATTGAGACTAACCCTGTATTCTCATAAGACCTAAGATATGAGCCGTCTGGAAATACAGGGTTAGCCTCAAGTCGGGGAAAATATGAATTGATAGCGCTATTGTACTAACAACCTTTTCTTTTTTTTTATGCAAGAGTCTTTAGGGTTGCGGAATATGTAATTTGTGAATTTTTTTTTTTATTGTGAATGGATATGCTTTGATCGATTTTGAATAGAAGTTAGTCGTTTCACGGACGTCGTGTGTGTTATCAAATCCGTCACAACACTAATTTACCGATCTCTCGGAATATTTTTCTAGGCGTCTGACAAGAACCCATGGCTTCAGGTAACCTGGCCTGGTTTTGCCAAAAGACTTACTAAAATAGGGACATGGGGAGCAGGGCCAGGAAAGAACGCCTACGTCACAAGATACAAGCTTGCGTTCTTTTTTTTCGGACAAGTGTTTACAGACTACCAAGAAAAGGGCGTGTCCCGGGTAAGATAGTTTAATTCTTGGCTTTCCATGTCACTCTGTTGCATAAACTATTTTTTTTTAAAGGCAAACTCAATTATTTCGATCTTATAAAATTGCAATTTTAAAGCCGCTGCTACACGAGCGATTTTTCGCTTGCGCAGGCGCGCGTAGCCACATTGTGCGATGGTGATTTTGAGAAAATCGCGTCGGCTGTTCAAGCGAAAAATCGCTCGTGTAGCCGAGGATTAAGACACACGCACAAAGGGCTCACTTTCATTTTTTTTCATCGATTTAGGTAAAGCATCAAAATAGATTAAGATAGTAACTGTTTTCTGACTAGATATTCCGTGGTAACATCGATTCCACCAAGCAGATCGTGCATGTGTTAAGTGATCCAATCAAAACACAGTACTTCCGCATAATACCGCTGTCTGGAGCACGTGGTGGCATTTGCCTTCGATTTGAACTTTACGGTTGTGCTAGCGGTAAGTTACTAATAGGAAAAGTCCCTTGGAAAAAATGACTGCTACTTTTTTTTTGGGATTCTTTTTAAACATACAGATCTCGTTAACATGCAATTTTGAAAAATATCAAATATTTTATTTAGAATAGTTATGATAAAATTTTAAATATTTTTTTTTGTATATGATGATACACAGTTTTAAGTGAAGCGTGTTTCATGGACCATTTTGTATTAACTTGAAAAATAATTTATGCTGATGAGTAAGCGATCATTGAGTGCACTGATGGGCGACTCTCAAGTGATTTTTTTTTTATATTGTAAATTTTTTTTTATTAAATCAATTTTCCTCGAAATAGTACTATGCTTGATTTTATTGCGGCAACTGATGAACTTTTTTGACGACATTTAAGTATAATATGTATTTAATTACGAAGTAATACGTAAAGGTATTTTTTTCGTCATCGTTGTAGTCGATGTTTTTTTTATTTATATATAAAGCCAATGGGAGCTAATAGTCTTCTTCACGGTTCCCTGCGGCATCTTTTAGAGCGGATTTCGTATGAGTGGGAAACGGACGGTACTGTACTGTGTCCGTAATCGTACTGTAACCAAATTCTAGTGCCCSATTGTTTTTTTTAAATTSTGCAGGCCAGGTVYGGTAACTGTGCGGTAACCGTGCGGTAACGGTGTCCCACTCATACGAAATCCGCTCTAAGGTAGCCGTTCCTTTGCATCTGAGCGAGACGACTGTTGAGCTCACAATAATAGAAACCTTCTTTCACTTTTTTTTCAATTATGGCACAGGTATCTATCATTGCACACTCGACGGTTGTTTTTTTTTGATGTAAGGGCACGTCTATCTTTCAAGATGGCTCAGGGAACCGTTTTTTTTRCTATTGAGCTTTTGCTTTCATATTTCTGTAGGCTGCATCGATCCACTGGGTATGGAGACAGGTGCAATAGAAGATTCCTGGATATCGTCATCATTTTTTTTTGACGAGGATCATAAASCTAATACTGCTCGTTTGAACGCTCTTTTTTTTTTGTGTGCAGCACCAACCGATACAAAACCATTCTTACGAGTATGTAGTCAGTAGTAAGAAATATTTACCAAACAAACTGTTTTGCGCATTTTGAGTTTTTTTTTACCTGCCTATTGGCTGAATGAAGGGCAACAACGAAATGATTTCCCTCTTACCGTCACGTGTTACAATGAGCTTTTCTATAAGTATCTAAATCGATTTTTTTTTGAAATAAATGTCTTGAATTATACTAAGACAAATGTTCACCGAGGGCAAAGTGATTATCGGTGGATATTATTCACATCTACTTCGTCTCGGTGGTTTTTTTTCGACAATCACTTCACCCTCAGCAAAATAATTGTTAATTATTGTTTTTTTTTGTTTCACTTGGGAGGACCTATCGAATAAGAAAAGTTTCTACTCTTTTTTTTCCTGAGGGTAAAGGTTATGTCAAGACGTTTTACTTTAGGTCGTTTTTTTTTAATAACTGGAGATTTTATAGAGAAAGGGGAAGCAAATATGTAAGTAATTCCTAATGTCTCGCGGTGATCTTTTTGCTGATGTAAAGCAGGATCCATATGTCTTATTGTTATCAAACTTGCCGATTTATCAATCTCGTACCCAGAGCATTCATTCTTCTTGGTCAGCCGCTGACCAAGAGGAACGACGGCTCTGGGTACGAGATTGGGCTATTTATAACAATGGGGAGGAACGAATTGCGCATGCGTATTTTTTTTCAAAAAAGAGTATGTGCTTTAGTTGGGTGTTTGAAAAAAAAAATTTTTTTTTGTGCAAAACTCGAATTTGGCATCAGAAATGTTGTTAACTTTTTTTTTTTTCAATGCCTTGATATAAACACCAGTTCCAACGATATCGAGAGCATTTTTTTTGGCAACTCACCGGACTGAAATGTGATTTTTGTAAAGTTATTTCTTTTTTTTCATCGATTTATAAAAACTCAAAAAAGCTTCTATCTAATTCTCTTTTTTTTTTTAAGTCAATATTATAATTTACAGATGTTCACAGCTAATCATGATGGATCAACTGTGATTTCTAAAACATTTTACTCACCAAATCGTGCCATCATTTTTTTTTTCCAACCTCAGACCTGGTCTGCTGCCGGTATTTGTATKCGTGTTTTTTTTTTTGGATGCATTCCAAGTAAGAACTATCACCGTCCATTTCTTGTTTTTTTTATAGTTAAGATTTTGCGATAGGCTAACATGAAATGAATGTTTTTTTTTTTTTACAGTGTTTAATATTTATTATATTTCTTAGAGTTTGAAAAACTTTTTTTTCATCATTATTTTATTATCTTTTGAGCCAACATTTTCATCTCAATTTTTTTTCACTTTTATATGTACGCTTGTCGAACGTCAGTTACTGAAACTCTTTTTTTTCCTGTGGTTGCTATCAGCAAAAAATAGATAAAAAATGAACGAATTTTTTTTAGAAATGATAGATAATCTTTCTTTCTTTAAGATAATGTGAGACTTTTTTTTCCACCAATCATCGAGCCCACTGGATCTGTGATCCCTACAACGGCACCGAGGTGTAAGTGATAACAATTTATTTGTTGCATATCAAAGAATTGTATGTCATTCGTGCGGGTTCCCTGTGCTTTTTAGTTTTGGGCTTCCTTTAGCGTTTTTTTTCCATATATGGAAACAAACAAAATGGCCGATTGTTGAGATGTGTTTTTTTTTTAATATCTGCAAGTTTTCAGACGATTTCAAGCTTTAAAAGTCGAGAAAATCGACAAAAACCATTTCTATCGTACTTCCAAATAAGGTAAGACTACCATATATGGTTGCTAAACGAAGTACAACTTTTGTGGGGCAATTCTTTGACATGAATTTTTCTTTTTAATACTTGAATCAATTTGACCAGCTTTCAGCCTCATAAAAGTATTGCTGGTGGAGATTTACGTATCTACCTAAGCGCAAAATAACATTTTTTTTTAAAAGCATAAAGCTCCCTTTCCTATAGACTGCCCAAAACTTCTTTTTTTTTTTGATCTATGTCCGATGTTTTTCAGACATGGAAATATAGTCCTTTTTTTTCAGATTTGTCATATAAAGTAACAGTAAAAATAACTAACATGCCTTTTTTTTGCGACTACTCATCAAGAAAGACTGACGCTTTCAAGAGCCTCGCTTTTTTTTTTATTGCCCAAGTACGTATAACAAGGAAACATCGACTGAAATTTTTTTTTTAGTTTTATATACCTGAATCTTCCCTTTGTCTTGTTCGTCTATATTTTTTTTGCTAGGACATGTATAGTTATTATACAGATATCATACGTGCTGTCGTCGTGCGAGAATGAAAAATGCATGCTAACTGTTGTGTATTAGATAAATGTCTGATTAGGACGTGTGTATTCTGAGTTCCCTGTGTTCTTGTAACATGTGTTTTTTTTTGACGTTGTAGCGAGTAAAACTGTTGTTTTCATACAAATTTTAGTTTTTTTTGTTCAATCCAAGGCTTAACTTACATATTATGAAAAAGGGTTAATACTTTTATACAGCTATCTGTATAGCAACGATGACACATGCTTCTTCCTTCAGGTGAGATCCTTATACAAAAGAGTTAAAGATGACAAGGTTTCTTTGGCTTTTTTTTTTGTACAAATTATCAAGTTCAGGTATGTAACATTGTTTCTGTGTAACTGCATTCAGTCTTGATTTTACGCCGTATAAGAATGATAGGGGGTAGGTATTTTTTTTACGACACTAAGAAGAGTGCGGGCCAGTAGAGAATAGATAGAACCGCCCCCTGTCAACTCTCGATGGATGGATTTTATGGCCATCGTCTTAACTTATTTGGTTCTAATGCTGGTACCCAATCATACACTCGGGTTGAAGCGAGGCAGCGCAAACCAATCTTTCCTGCACAGAGCCCAACAAATTAAGCTGCCCGCGTTAGGAACTGAATCTAGATCTTAAGACATGGACTCTGATACGATGTTGACTATTAGATGGCCACATATTTTACAGGGAATCACTTAATTATTAGGAAGTTTTTTTTTTTTTTTGTTGACATATCAACCCATTGTGTTGTTTTAGATCTGGCAGCTTTTTTTTGGATTTCAACGTCACGTTTTTAGCGGATATTGCTAAAGGAGTGTTTTTTTTGCAGCGAATTAAAGATACTGTCAATAATGGTTCCCTTGGAAACATGACTGTTGATCCGAGCTCTCTTGAGATTGTAGAAATCAGTAAGTTGAAATTGTCAGTATTACAATTGTTCTATATGCCAAAAATTAAAGTAATTTCAGGATTTTTTTTGATTTCCGTCCTTCATGACGTTATTTGATTGGGAATTGCTCACTTTTTTTTGAATTCAACAGAGCAATCGAGTGGCAGTACAAGTGCACAAAAGTTTTTTTTGTATCAATTCAACTTCATTTTTGGTGGATTCTTCATTTTGGTCTTTTTTTTTTAGACTTGCTTGTTTCCTATGATTTGTTTGCTCTTCAATTCCTTTTTTTTCGGTTCTTTTCCTTTCTCTGTAATCTT